CAAGCATGGGTGGAGGGGCGGGAGGACTCCTCCTGGGAGGTGGAAGCTGGGGGCACGCCCACCTACTGCCTGATTTGCCCACCTCCGTGCCCCTCTCCTGGAATCCCACTCCAGCTGGCCTCCTCTCCAATTCCTACAGCAGCTGCCCTGTGCCTTACCTCTGAGACCAATCACTGTGGCAGGCACAGAGATCAGATGACTTCACGGGGCTTTTCTTCTACCTGGTTTAATGGTTTCATCATAGAAACTACCAACAGACTTTTCAAGTTATTTTCTCCCCCTTCTAGGAAACCCCTTCTGAATGATTTTGCATCTCGGCAGGGGTGGAGAAGAGCCTGGTTGGTCCAAGAATTGATCCTAGGGGATGTCACATTCATCAAGTTGCACACTCATTGGCCTCTTCGCTGTGGGGACATTCCAACCTGCACTTCTGGGAATGCTCTGGATTCCAAATCGGATCAATTTCTTCTGTCATCTACCTTGTCTCTCCCTTCCCCCAGATTGTTACCCACATCTTTCTGCTCCTGTCTCCCATCTGGAACCCCTCTCTGGCCACAGCCAGGCTGGTGATTTTCTCTCCTTTAGGGGACACCTGTGCTGGGGAGTAACACAAAAGAGGGTCTCTGCCACAAACTGGAGACCAGGAACCTCCTTGCTGCAAACTCCAGCATGCCAGCTTTGCAAATGGTGGTTGTTTCTTCCAAGATCTCAGCCCTGAGGGGCGGAGCTGAGAGGTGTGCAGGGTTGAAGGGAAGGCGCAGGAAAAGTCCAAAACATCCAAGAGAGAGCCAAGTGACTCCTGCAGAGTGAGGACATGGGGAGCCCTAACCAAAACCAGGAGAAGGGGGGAACCCACAGAAGGCTGGCCAGAGCTCCATCTTGCCCAGCAGCCTTCCAAGGAGCCAGGGGAGCCAGGCATGGGAACTGGGCAACATGCCTGCATTCAACTCTTTCTACAACCACATCTAGTCCAGACGGATCCCTCAGACTCTCCCCCCACCTCATCCTTTTTCTCCCATCTTCATACCTATTGGAGTGTTCACTGTTTTATTCAACAATTACTACTTGATGGTCTATCAGACACAAAAGAAACAAGCTAGGTGCTAATTAATAACAATACAAGTTTCCATGTGCCACTCCTTGTCCCTTTTCCTTTCTAGATTTCCTTCATTACCCCCTTACCTGGGTTCCTCTACCTCCAGTCTCCTTACCCTGGAGGTTAGTCTTCAGGAAAACCAAACAGAGAAAGACCTGGACAGAAAGGCCATTTATTTCTGTTCCAAGACCTTTAGTTGCTTTCTTTCATCTGCCTCCCTTCTCCCCTCCCCTCCTTCCCTCTTCCAGGGGTATGGATCCAGAAAAAAATCCATTTCCTTCCCTGATGTAGGGGGTGTATCATGAAAGAAGCCAAGCCACTGACCCAGGAGTGCCCAGCATTGATGGGGACTCCCCAGCCACAGCCCCTTGGCTTTGTAGCCCCCCCAGTGGCCCAAAAGGTCCTCCTTCTCCCCAAAGCAGACGTCGCAGATAGGGCAGCGGTAGACCTTCTGCTTCCAGTGAGTCTGCTGGTGCCTGACCAGCCCCGAGAATAAGGTGAAGGACTTGCCACAGTGGAAGCAGCGGTTGGACTGCTCTGTGAGGTGGGCCTTCTGGGGGCCTGGGAGACAGGCTCTCTTGCTGAAAGTCAAGGGACAGTGAGAGCCAGATACCTTGAATCTTGAAGGCTTTTCTGGGTGAGAGTTGGTCTTGGAATCCAGGAAGGTGGCTCTAGTGTTGGTCGCCTGGGTCCCTATCACAGGCTCTGGGGTTGTAAAGACGGGGGCCTGAGTTTTCACAGAGGTCACTTGGTTCTTGGCTACAGGTGCCTGGTTCCCATCTATAGATGGCTGGGCCCCAGCCTCAGGACCCTTGGTTTTAAATGCAGGTCCTTGGGTCCTGGCCACTGGTGCCTGGTTCCCAGCTGTGAGTCCCTGGAATCCAGCTGCGCTGTCTGGAATCCTCACAATATGCTTCTGGTTTCCAGTCCTCTGCTCCTGGCCTTGGTGTGTCTTCTGGTGGCGTTTGAGCTCGGATTGGTCCCGGAAGCACTTCCCACAGAAGGGGCACGAGTGGGGCCGGTAACCCAGATGGACGCGGCGGTGACGACTCAGTCCGGAAGCGTCACAGTAGGTCTTGTCGCAGAGCGAGCAGCGGAAGGGCCTCTCCCCCAGGTGCATGCGCCGGTGGCAGCTGAGGGCCTTGGGGTTCCGGAATGACTTCCCACACTGGCCGCAGGTGATGTTATGCCGCTTGGGACTGTGAACAAACTGGTGGCTGTGGAGGCCGGAGCGCTTGCTGAAACACCTGCCACAGATGTGGCAGGAAAAGGGTGGCCCCGCCCAGGATGCGGGCAACACTGACGTCCTGTCCAGGGACCCAGCTGGAGTGGAGGAGGGGCTCACCCTTCTGCCAGCAAGAGGGACCTTCTTGTCATCACTAGTCCCCTGATCTCTCTCACTTTGACTCTGTTCTTCAAGTTTCTCCTTCTTGCCTCCTGGGGGGAACAAGGAAGAATAACAAGCTCTCCATTCAGTTCAGTTTACTTCCCCCACTTCTGCCCTCCTTCTCCTGCCCAACATTCACTCTCACTCTTAGACCTCAGAGGCCAGAGATAAGAAAAAACTTCAGGGTTTTCGAAATAAAAGCAAATAAAAATTTAACTGGAATCTTCCAACAATATCAGAGATCAAGATTTTAACCTATAACCACATTTCTTGAAATCTGTTTCCTGTTGTTTTTCAATATTGTTCATACTCCCACCAGCACTCCACAGACACCCGCAGGTGACCTTGTAAATTGGGACACATGAGTGAAAGGAGATGGTATTAATAATCAAGCAACTGTGTGAAACATAAACCAGGGCTGTCCTGGCAAACCAGGAGGTGTGGTCAGCTCAGACTTAAATTTCTTCCAAGTCCTTATTCAACTCTCAGAAGCAAGTCTCCACTAATTCAACTCACCATCAAGCTCACCTCCCTTCCCTTTCTTTCTCTTAGGAAGGATTTTTTTCATCACAGGGGTATCACTGACATAAGCAGCCCACATG